AGCACAACAGAGACATTTATTCCGAAATACTCCAACTGAATTTTTCAATGACTGGATTTTTAAGGGATAATAACACAACGTCAGACAAAACAATTTACTTATTTCTTGCTGTGAAATGAACAGAAATAAAATAGCTTCTTGGAAGGTAAGAAAAACTTATGGTGTGCTTTAAAATGGTTAGAAGTAATGCACGTACACATCCCACAAGTCAAGAGATAAGAAATAGAGGGAAATAGAGTTGTAAATTGGGAGGACTGTTTCTGCATAAACAATGTGCAGTCACTGGTATTTGGAGCACTCTCGAGGTTTGGATTGCATGACTCTCTCCTGATTTCTTTATTAAAAAGAAGAGAAACTGTATTATAAAACATTGTTTACATAAAGATGTACTGCAAGAGGGGAGAGCGACTACGACTCCGTAAGAAATATCCGTTCACAAAGCTTAAAATCTTAATTATGAGTCTGGACTGGAGATGTCTTTTTGTATTGTCTCTGACTCTCTATTTAAGCTCGGACTTGACTAGACAGAGTCCAGCTATATTTTTTCTGAAGTAACTTCCTCCTGCAAAACAAAACCAGTTATGAAGTGTGGTTGTTCAGAAAACATGTTTTGGTTTAATTCAAAATCCATCTAGAACGGGGATTGACAATGTCAGTGTCACTTGTAATCGTGTGCCATGGCTGCCAAAACTCTTATTATAGCATAATCATTTCTTTCTCTGGCCTTGATTTGCATATGAACCTATTTGGAATTGGTCTTGACCCGGCTTCAACTAGTCCTAGTTTTAGACTCGACAAAGGTGGTTTTATAGCACTGCGTTAACAGTGAGTGGAACCTAAAACACAGCTAGTAAACAACAACATTAAACAGGTAGGACTGAACAAAAACCAGCCAGGGTCATTTCCAGACACTGGAAACCCTAAAAATCTGATTGGCCACCACATTATCCTTACTTCTTATGAAACTATATGACCAATCAGATGGGAAGGGAGCTACGTAACGCTAATGTTGGTAATGTAAAGCTTTTTGCATGTGGTATAAGTTTGTGTATACATACTGGGGTCCATAAACAGTATTGGAATTACATAAAAAGCTAAGACACATACTTCATGCCACCCCTGCAAGTCAGTGCCCCACTTGTGCCAATCAAAAAAGTCTGGAAACATCCCTGAAGCCAGCAGCAGCAGTATTATGAGGAGTGAGAGCACATTAACAGTACAAAAACCACCTCAAAGTCTTGTTCGAAGCGGACTAGTGAGGACTAGGACTTGTGCTCTGCAAGAAATGTTTAACTACTATACAGTGTATGTATGTATAAATCAAATGATCAAATAAAAAAGAATGTTACAAATTCTCTTTGTTTTGTACAATACTTTCATCAAAATTCCACTGAAACTTATTATAACGCAAAATCAAAGACTGCAGCTCTGCCACAGACATTTCCCCTCGGACTTCTTCTTGTTCACATGTTCAAACACGTTAGCAGCCGCGAGTAGAGCAAGTAACCATTTTTGACAAACAAGCAGTGTGCACACAAACAAGTAAACAGGAAATTTTATTAATGAGTGGGAATTTCAAACAAGCTGATCAAAGTAATTATAGTGTGAAATGCTGATATCTGGATAAAGTCTTTGACAGTGCTGTTTCTTACATAAAGTAACAACACTTTTATCAGCATTTATTTAAGCACTACTCAATGCTCTATTCAAAACCAGCGCTGTGGATCATTAGCCAAACAAGTAAAGCAAAAAGCACTTAATGGCTCGAGTCCATGTGCACAGCATGTTCACTGATGTGTTTTTGTTCTGAGATGGAAGTGGTTGGAGATAGGGGGCATGAAACAGATGGAGAATGCATGTACCACAACATCGTACCCTGGCACGAGAAACTGGGTGTGTGTGAATACAGACTCAGGAAGAGTAAAGGAAGGAAAGGAGCATGAAAGAAGGGAGGAAGAGTGATATTAAGGGGTTGGATAACATCAGAGTGGACCTGGGCAATTAAACAATAGTGATGATATTGGCAATAGACACTTCGTCTATAGCAATAAGACAGTTGTTCAATAGAATATCGATAGTTTCACTTAAATGCATAAAAAAAAACTGCCATGAAAG